GTTTTTATAGCTGAGTAGTATTCCATTGTGTAGATATACCACATTTTCCGTATCCACTCATCCGATGATGGACATTTGGGTTGATTCCAGCTCTAAAAATATGGAACGCTTCACGAATTTGCGTGTCATCCTTGCGCAGGGGCCATGCTAATCTTCTCTGTATCGTTCCAATTTTAGTATATGTGCTGCCGAAGCGAGCACAGTATAGTGATTTATATTTATAGATTTCCTGATACATAACCCACTTATACCTTCTGGGCATAAAACCCACTCAGTACATTATTACTTTAAATAACTACAATATCTTATATGCTGATATTTTATTTTGTATCTTTACATAGATTCTTGATTATTTTAGACTATTTCAAAATTCATATTCTAAGCCCTCATTGAGAATCCTTAATTAAATATAACATAGACTTTGAAAGTTCTTGAAAAGGGAAGAATTTTCAGAATGTATGGGGTAAATGCATTATTGTGGTATTTGGTTGCTGTTAATACTGTAACACTTACTTGAACGTATTAGTGTTCAGGTTTTTGTTTCACAATAATTAAATCATTTTATATTCATCTTGCTTGTGACAGGAACTTACTTTTTTGGTAAGAAGTAGGATTCTTTTTATTAAATCTTCTCAATAGAATGTGCTTGTGTTATAAAATAGAGGTAACACCTGTATTTTTTTGGTGTATATTTATTAGGAAATTTAACCGTTTATCTCAAGCATAGAACTGTCTCCCTTCTCACTAATTCAGTTATATGAGATGTTTTCCCTCTTCACAGGTTCAGTTTAATTTGCAGTTTACAAAACCAAATACACTGCTAGGAGATGTCCAGTCAGGAGCAACTATGAGTATACCTTGCTCAAATGATAAGGAAAAGTAAGTGCTTATTGGCATAAAATGTAATGTTTGCAATTTTGAAGGTTATCTTAAAGAATTTTTATCAGTGCTTGAAAGCTATGATACCCAATTATTTATCTGAAACATTTTAAGTTCCTGGTCAGTGGAATTTGAATCACTTTTAGCTATAAAGAGTAAGTTTCTCATACATATTTTTTAAAACTGTGGGATACTCTTAGATATATAGTAGAATTTTATTTGTCACAAGAGATTTTCCTACATAACTGAAGATAGTATTGCCTTTTTAAATATTCTTGGGTATGTACATAGAAATCTTTAATTCCTTATAATTGGCTGTTTTTCATTTTTTTTTTTTTTTTTTATATAGCTATGTCTGCCCTTGGAAGCACTCCATTTTTCTGATTTATTGCTTCCAGTGTAAAGTAATCTAAGAAAGCAGCTAGTTAATCTGCTAGAAATATATGGTGTATAAGAGTAAAAATGTTTGCAAGATTGTCTCTGAGGTAACAGAAATAAAACTTTAATATTTGTGACTTGTTTTGCCTGCTCAGAAATTCTTTCCCTATTTTTTAGGTCTAAATCAGGTTTTATATAGTGAAGTTTATTGAATCAGTGACTTGTGGTTAAACAACTCGTACATGCAAACTTTTCTCTCTGGGCAATCTTCATGTTTGTAATTTTTAAATCATTATAGTTCTTTATTTACTTAAAATTTAATGGCTGTAAGAACTGTCTGCCAGCACTCATTATCGTGAGCTAGTGCAGTCCCAATACGTTGCAAACTAAATTACTAACATAGCTCAAAAAGGGTTCTTTAACTCTCTAGCCCTTAGTCACTGGGTATTCTGAAATTGCTACCAAGATGAGTATTAAAATAGTTAATGTTTGTGAGCCTCCCTTTTCAAAAAGATCAGAATTTTGGAATGCATATGTTATATTGAATCACACTGGGTCATAAGGCAGAGCATCTGGAATTCATATTAATGGTAGAATACCATAATGTTTATGTTTCTTTCTCTCTCTCTCTATATATATGTATATATATAATTCATTATAGACACCAAGAGCAATTTTACTAGAGAAAATATGATAATCATATATACAGTACAAAATTTAATATAATCATCTGTTCATAAAACTAGGACTGTTCAGTGATTTTTTTTCTGTTTAGAACTGGTTTGTTCTTTTATTTGTTGTCAGCTAGCAGAAAGTAGCAATGTATATCAAAGGTTAAAGAAAAAAATAAAGTTAAAGCTGAAAAACTACCTATTTATCCACTTTCTGAAAATTGGGAGAAGACTGTCACTTATATTGTCATTGTTTTTCAAGAGACTTTAACTTCTTATTACAAGTATACTGCTAGGGAAACTATTAACACTGGACAGATTGAGAAAGAAGAAATGCAGTCATAGGAAGGGGAAAAATACGGAGATGTCCTTTTTTCCCCAAAGTTTCACATTTGTATTTATCTAACCAGAAATCATTATTGCTCTGTATCAATATTTGATAATAACTACTTTGAAGCACTACACAATTTTGAAGAGCTTTTGGTCAAAGCAAAAAGAAGTCTTATTCATTTTAAATACAGGATGAGATAGAAATTATTAAGTAATTACATGATATTCTCAAGGCATGTATATATGTATTTTTCTTCCATCATGTATCACTTACGTGCTATTGTGTAAAATTTTATAGTACTTGTATTTCTCCCCAGGTCCTTATGCCAGCTCTTAAGATTTTTAGTTTGATTTAATTTACTCTTTACTGGGAAGAAAATACTTTGGTTTATGTACAGATTACTTATTATTTGCTTGAGAAACCAGTGAAGAATGTGACCTGAACAAAGTTAAGCTATAAATATAACTTAGTCATATTATATATAGTATATGTATATATATATGAGATAACCTTCAAAATTAACTAATAAAGAGAAAATAAGACTTTGTTACAACAAGTAATTACTATTTTCCTTTTAAGTGGTGAAAATTTAGGGCTGGAATCCAAATACCTGAAGAAAAGGGAAGATAGTATTCCTTTACGTGGTCTCAGCCAGAATCTATTTAGTAACTCAGGTGAGAAAACATTCCTGAACTGGATTTTGTACACTGTGGTTTAATTAAACGTACACGTAAAGACAAGTGAATACCAATCATCTTTTTTGTCCTCATTTGCAGACTACCAGAAAGATGGCACTCTCGGAGCATTACAAACTTCCAAACCCACAGTGCACCCTGCTACATCTTCAGCATATTTCCCTGGGCAGTTACCAAACAGTTAATTCTAGTGTTGTCTTTTACTTTTTTACTGACATTTTAGTAACTCTGGTGGTTTAAAAATATGTTAACATAAATCAGATCCCAAAGAAGCAAGTTTTAAATTTTACTTGAACTACTGTTAGATTCTTTGGCTTCTTTTAAGTAAGTACTGCTGTCATTTATGGCAGACACTTTATAGGAACAAATTTGTACTTGGGGATTGGTAAAGGTTTGGAGTAAATGATATTTTTTGGTTTGTGAACATGGGTGTTTTATAGAATCATAGTAGTATGAATTTTATTAAACTAATCCATAGAAATTCAGTTCTAAGGAAATAGATGATCTTTGTAAGGGACATTCTAATCATATTGAAAATCTGGGTAAATTTAAACCTTCTCAGAACATAAAAGTGTAAGGGCCGGCCCGTGGCTCACTTGGGAGAGTGTGGTGCTGATAACACCAAGGCCGTGGGTTCAGATCCCATATAGGGATGGCCGTGGTGCTGACAACACCAAATCAAGGGTTAAGATGCCCTTACTGGTCATATTTTAAAACAAACAAACAAACAAAAAGAACATAATAGTATAAAACCGAAGAATACTAGTAATTCATTTTATCATTTTCATTGGGAAAATAAAAGTGAATTTGCCACCTGAGAATTATGAGGGAAAATGATTATCTCCTTAGAATATCTATATTATTGACATTTACATTAAAGGGAAAAGTCCCAAATTTACCCTGTAAGCCTTCATAGCAAAAAAATGAGTATTATATACTTGAAAATACTTAGCTATTGAATGAGTCTATTAAATAAATTTGATATACTTACAAAAATAATTTGGACAGTATATTTGCATGACCAGGTTACGTATAAAGTGCTTTAATCATCTGAAGTGAAAAGTTTATAGGATTGTAGTACTTCCTGCAAGTTTACACTTAACTGATTTTTCTCCTTAATTTGGAATTTTATTAGTTATGCAATTAAATCTACGTCAGTGGAGTATTGCTTTAAAAACTGGCACCATACAAAAATCCTTACTATGAGCATCATGAATATTAATTGCATTTGTTTTTATAATATCAAAACTTGGGTTTATTTTAATGTTTACTTAATAGGTAGGCAAAAAAAAAAATAACTTACAACTTTCTTCTCTTCCATAGAACTAAAAGTTTCAAGTAAGAATTGTTCCTTGGAAAAAAATTAGGTGATTTAAAAAAATTCACCCAGAATCACAGGGTCCCATTTTGTTTTCTTGTTGACAACCACCCAGTACAGAGTAGCATTCTCTTCAGAGTCCTCTAAATCAGTTTCTGTTTGCAAAGTGCTAATGATCATGTGATATTTGAAAATTATTTTCAAGTACTTTATCACACAGATGAGGAAAGAGACATTTCAAGATATTAATGACATACCAACATTACTTGGTTCCATGGTAAGACAAAGAATCTTTTCTATTTTTTTTTTTTATGAAGCCACTGTCTTTAGTCTTACATGTTGAAATTGTTGGCAGTTGCAAGCTGTCTTAAACTGGGGATCTAATCTAAAAATTTAGTAACTAATGTTAGGGCAATGACTTCTCCCTCATTTAGATATACTATGATATTAAGAATACTCGGTTACAATAACTTGAAAGCACTGTTCTGGAAAGAAGCCTGTTGGTAATATTGGAATCTGCTTTGTTGTAAATACTGTGTAAAATATAAGAAACATTGTGTCAGGGTTTGGATGGGATACATGACATACAGGTAGCTCTCTTTCCATATACATACATGGAAAATTGAGAATTTCTACAGGATAGGATAGAGATCATTCTGATCTCAATTTGCTGAAGATTTTTTTTTGTATTAAATGTATATATATACACAAGACTTCTGAGTGTGCTAATTCTTTGCTCTACCTCCTAAACTTCTTGAAATTGTTTTGCAGTATAAAGTTGTACATGTGTTAATAATAAAAAATGTTGCATTTAATATTATTTCTGTAAACTGTGAGCTTTGTTAATAAAATATTAAAATAATTACTTTGAGAGTATGACATGTAAAAAGTATATAAAAAAAGAATAGGATCGATCTACAATACCTATCTTAGAAAATCAAGTTCTTCCAGTTAATTTGTGTACTAAGTTTTCATTTCTTTCCTCTTGTCTTCCTACAAGAGTATTTTATAGTGAGGGAAAAGAAATTTATTCAAAGGGAGAGGTATAAAGCTTTGACTTGTTACTGTAAAAAAATTGTGGTAACAAATAAAGCCAAACAAACAGGCCCTATAAGGACTCACAGATCAAGACTTTTTAAAAAAAAAAAAACATTAAAATATTTAATTTTATTAACAGAATATTTACATTTGTTTTAAGACCTTATTTAACCATAGTGAATGTTCCAAGTTTAAAAAGCATTAAGCAATAACCACACACAAGATGGAAACAGTGTAAACTATACAATACTTTATGTACAATTTTTACAAAGTAACACTTTTTTAAATAATATAACTGGACACAAAAATATACACTTTAGAGAAATTCACATCAGTAATTGTATAAAGCTCTCCTCTAGGGTCCTGAAAATTTAGGACAAACATTAGCTCTGTAAATAAAGTGTTACTGTGACAGTCTTGAAAGGCCACTATATATATTTATCTACATAAAGATATCACATTGACATTTCAAGGCTACCAGCTTTACTATATAATTTTTAGATTATGTATTCAAGTGTTGAGGTTCTTATGATTATGCAAACATTAAAAGAACAGTGGTATAAGAAGTAGCTGGGGAACAAATTTGAGCCAGCATTAGATTTACAGGCTCTAAACACCCCAATTTAAATTCTAAATGGCTGATATTTTCTTACTTCAAAAATAGTAGTGAATGTGTTTAAAATAAAATTACTGCAAACAAGCTTGAAACATGATTCAGATTTAGTACAATTTTCTTTAGAGTTTTTTTTAATACAAACAATTCATTTACCATTTCTTTGTTTTAGTGCACCTGCATTAAGGCTTTTAATTATTTGACCCAAGATTTTACAATATTAAAATCTGACTCAAGATTTTACAATGTTAAAATGAATAGGTTCACAACCATACTACCTACTCCGTCTTACTGAGAGTCAGCATAAATAGAGTTAAAGCTCAACACCTTAAGGAAATGGTAGCAGAGACATATGCTAATATCTAAAAAGTTACATATATAGTTTTTAATTAAAGGATGTATAATAAACAACTTAGTGGCAAGAAACTGGTGCTAATAAACAAAAGGGTTCTTCAAAAGAAATTGTAACATCTTTGGAAAACTGTCCGGTTCTTTCTTTAGTTCCCACAGAGTTCATGCAGATACATTTCTTAAGACAATTTCAAAGTACACTGTGGATGGAAATGGAATGTACATCCAGAACTACAGGTGAAAACTAAGACCTGGGTGCTGATAGAAAAAGCTTCCTGATTTCGGTCGTCACACATTTGTGTCCTGGAGTAAAGGTTCTTTGGCCTCTCCTGGCGCTTGTGTACTATGAGGATGGCTGTGACTGCCACAGTGCTTTCTCCAGCTGCTGGACCTTAAGCTTAAATTGGTATGCTCTGGAATAAACAAGGCAACAAGCAGAGCCAGCAGTACTGAACACGCTCCAAAGAGGAAAGGGGGGCCAGGGATGATGGAATTCTGAGGAAGAAAAATATAATTAGGATTTTTGTACAAATAATTTTGTTCATAAGAAGAAATAACTTATCTTTTTTTTTTTTGTCTTTTTCGTGACTGGTAAGGGGATCGCAACCCTTGGTGTGGTGTCGCCCACCCCACGCTCAGCCAGTGAGTGCACCGGCCATTCCTATATAGGATCCGAACCCGTGGCGGGAGCGTCACTGAGCTCCCAGTGCTGTACGCTCCCGAGTGCGCCACGGGCTCGGCCCTGAAATGACTTATCTTTTAGTAATAACTGGTTGCTCTGAATTATAAGCCAATAGCTTCTCTTCATTAAAGCTATATTAAAAATCATTATGCTCAATATAAAATTCTGGGGAGAATGACTGACAAAACAGCCTATGCAAAAATATCATATTGTCACTTTCAACCCAGAATCTGAACACGGATATCTATGAGCCTTCACTTAATTTGTCCAACAGGAAAATGTTCATAGGAAGTCTTCCAAGTAAAATCAAGAGGCATACAATATTAACTACAGTAGTAGAATCAACTGCCATTTTGTTCGCAAAAGGTAATTACATTCTCAAGTGACTGAAAATGAGAAAAACATGAAAAGAAACAAACCTTTGTTTGAGCTCAAAATTACATTCATTCTTAGCAAAAACTTGCACTGCCAGTTTTACTTGGGTGTAGCCCACAAAAAATCACCCTTTTTTATTTAAAAGTAGTCTTAGCTGATTGGAAGATTAATGTGGAACTCTGCTAAATACCCCAGGAAACTGATGAGCTGTTTGTATTGGCTAAAATGATTAACATTGTTTGGCATTAATATTTTCAGTTGCAAGGAGGGAAATACAGCAAACAAGTGAACAAAGGGACTTACAAGCACATAACTGACTTTTCCTACAAAAGGCAGGCTTAACATAGGAGAATGACATTACAGAAGTCTCATGAAAGACAAGTAGTAGAATAAAGAAATGGTTATTATGTATGCCAGTAGGTATAATTTGACAAACCAGATATTTAAATAATTCTTCATTATCAAGGGGAAAAAAAACTGCACAGCCAATTTCACAGAGGCATACAGGAGAACACAGTCAAGGCTTTGGTTTTTAAGAGTTTTATTCAATCTAAAATAATAAGAATCTCAAAAACTTTTGTGACCCAAAAAAGCTTTTGTGACTTTTTTAATCTGGCCAAATGAACTATACAATTTTATCATGTGATAAAATTTTAGTTACCTGTTCAAAGTGGTACTGAGGGCTTGTGTTTGTTCCCAAGTCTGTTCCTGTTATTGGCAGTTCTTTAAGTTCCACATGGAATATGTAGAAAATAAATCCATAAAGAGCTGGCCCCAGGCCATTGCACAATCCTCGAATCCCTGTTATCATTCCTTGCACAACACCTAAATTGTTTAAACAAATTATCATTTAGTACACTACCTATTTTTTCTTACTACCCTAGAACCAGCATATAAATATGAAATCACTTAGTCTAAAATCAAGGCTTTTGTCAGACACTAGCAATTTACTGCAATGGCATTAGAAACTACTTAGAAGCCATCAGCTCTACAAAGTGTAGTAAACTATCTAATGCAAATGTGCGCTCAGATGTACCCATATATAGGTCTAACACAAAAACAAGTGGGCAAATACACTTTAAATGTCCCTAGATGATAGCCTTCAAAATATTCCTGGTTAAAAATCAGTCATGAGTTCACAAATATGATTGTTAAAAACTCCGTCCCCAAGCAGCTACTTAAGACTCCTTTTAGTCAAATAAACACTCTTTTTATAGAGTTTGTTTGATTTTTATCTTTCTGTGATCTT